AAAAAAAAAAAATATATCTGTACCGGGGGGTACAGAGAGAAATAAGGCAGCTTTCCCTCATAGAACTTATAATCTATCAGGGAGACAGACATTATCTATTTGAAGATTTAATTATACTTGTGATTAGAAAAACAGCTGTATGCTTGTGATAATTACTGATAAAAATAATATACGAGGTACTATGAGAGTTTCCCAAAAGGAGGCTACCTGCTCTGTGAGATCATGAATTTCTTAGGTAATCAAGACTGGAACTGGGCAGACAATCCCAGCTGCTTATTTTTCCTTCCTGTTCTTTCTCATCTTTATCTAATTCTTTATTCTTACAGTCCTGGCTAAGTACTGGAAAACACTGTGATCTACTTACACCCTTCCTTGCCTCCGCCATCCTCTTGCTCTCAGAGGGAAGTTCTGCTAGTGGGGTTCCATGAGGTTCCTGATAGGAGATGCCACCTTTTGCTTAGACCAGAAACCTTAGAGACACGCTTGCTTCCGATGGCACCCCTGACCCTCCCTATCCCCTTCCTTCTCCACTGTATCTCTCACCACCTACCGACTGTTCTTGGTTTGTAGTAGCTGCTCAGTAAATGTTTGTTGTGTGAATCACTTAATTTTGTCTTGATCTCATCTCTCCTCACCTTTTCAGAATCCTTTCACTATAATTAATTTAATTATTACTGTGTATCTTTCTTTCATCTTGGCTCAGTCCTCAGTTATGATCACTTTTAATTAAAATTGTTTTAACTCAGCTCCGTTTCCCCCTTAGCACTCCTAAGCCCTGTCCAGTCTTCACCTGCACCACTCCACTGGGACAGCTCTCACTGAGTTCACAAATAATTTCCATGTCATTAGATATGATGGGCATCTGTCAGTCTCGTCTTACCTGACCGTCCAGCAACATTGGCCTCCTTGCTAATATGCTCCTACTTTTCTTCTTTCTTCTCTGATTCTTCCTTTTCTGCCCACTTGGGAGAGTCCTCTTCCTCTAACTGGCCATCATGTGTTGGAATTCCTCAGTGTACAGTGCTTGGCCGTGGTATCTCCAGCAACCAGGGAGATAAACATGGTTAATAAATTAACATGTTTATTTATTAACATTTAATAAATGTTCAGGGCTTCAACAGCCATCCAGATAATACCTTACAAATGTGTGTCTTTAGTCAATAATTCCTTTCTGAGTTCTAAATCCATGTGTCCAAAGTGCCTACTCAGTTTCTCTCCTTGGATGTGCCTTTGGAATCACCTAAAAACTCAGTCTGCCCCAAACTCAATTCGTGAGCAGACTTGGTCCAGAAGGAGAGAACATACCCTCGCAGACCTGGGGTTTTCCCCACATTCCTTAATTGATGTCATCCTGCTATAAACACCGGAAAGCTGAGAGTTAACCTAGACACACCTGCTCCTTCTCACTCCCGGTATTTCCTTTCAGCCTCTTATCTTCAGTGCTGCTGTGGTCCTTACCATCTTTTGCAGTGTTACACTACTGTCCAGATCTCAGCTCAGTCGGTTCCGCGTTTCGTAACACTCAAGTTTTGTGGTATTTGGTGCTACCTTAGTGCTTCATCATCTTTCACAACTTGTCTTTGTGTCTGTGTGATTACTTATCTGTCTTCCTTCCCTGCTTCCTGAGGAGGACAGGTATGTTTGCTCCGTCCTATCACCAGCTCCTAGCCTGACCACGAATAAAGATTCCTAAATGAGTAAAGATGAGCACCTCCTTCTCCTGCAACACTACACCTCATGATGAGGCTCTTCCCTCTTTTCTTTTTCTGGAAAGACCTTTTCTAACTTGCATTCCTTTCATGGCCTCCACACTGCCAAGTGTCAAAAGTGCCCTTTCTGGGTGAGCCCATGGCACCTGCTGTGTACCCTGCCTCACTCTTAATTCATTATGATGTAATTACTACTAACTATTTCCCTATCCTAAAAGGCAAGGATTGTTTCTTTTCTTTTTCTTTCTTTCTTTTTTTTTTTTTGAGACAGAGCCTCAAGTTGTCGCCTGGGTGGAAAGCTGTGGCATCACAGCTCATAGCAACCTCCAACTCCCAGGCTTAAGCGATTCTCTTGCCTCAGCCTCCCAAGTAGCCAGGACTACAGGTGCCCACCACAACCAGTTTTTTGGTTGCTGCTGCTGTTTGGTGGGTCCAGGCTGGATTCGAACCCACCAGCTCAAGTGTATGTGGCTGGCACCTTAGCCACTGGAGCCATAGGCGCTGAGCCAAGGATTGTTTCTTTATTGTAATTCCATCACTTGGCTCTGAGTAGTAACCCTTTGTATATATTTTTGAGTGGATTAATGTAGTCCCACCTCTTTTACTATTTTTTTTGATTTTGAAAGTCATACATTTCAGGCCGAGTGTGGTGGCTCATACCTGTAATCCTAGGACTCTGGGAGGCTGAGACGTGTGGATTGCTTGAGCTCAGGCATTTGAGACCAGTCTGAGCAAGAGAGAGACCCCATCTCTACTAAAAAAAATAGAAAAACTACCCAGGTGTTGTGGTGGGCACCTGTAGTCCCAGCTACTAAGGAGGCTGAGGTAAGAGGATCGTCTAAGCCCAAGAGTTTGAGATTGCCGTGAGCTATCATAATGCCACCATACTCTACCCCAAGGCAACAAGATGACACCATACTCTACCCCAGTCTCAAAAAAAAAAAAAATTAAAAATTAAAAATCAGTTATTTTTCAATAAGCAATGTATTTCTAATCATTTGTTGAGGAGAACTAACTGCATCAGTCATCTGACTGGTGTAGATCTAATGGGGGAACAGACTGTATATCCTTTAATCCAGTTCTCTTTATAAAAAAGGAAATGGATATTTACAACTTTGCTTTGGAGAATTAGCATGCATGAAATGAAAACAGTGTCCACATTGTCTTGTCATTACACCTGTATTAGAATGCTTGCTTTTTAAATGTGATCTGACAGTGAATATATTTTTCAAGAACGGTCTAAGTAAAGACATATACATCTGTGTGACTATGAAATGAGTTGGGAATTAAAAGTGCTAATGGTAATAGAATATTTTCCTGAAAGGGTAGAGCAGAGTTAAAAAAAAATTTACCAGGTATAATTTATACCAATCAAAGTTATTCTACTGTAGGGATTTTTCATTCTTAAGTATGAAATCACAGTTCTCACTTGTGGGTAAATAATGGCAAAATGTGAACAGCTAATCTGAATAAAGGATAAGTTCATTGTACTTACATTTTTGCTGCTTTTCTGTAAGTTTGGAATTAATGTCACAATTAAAAGTTATCCCCCAAAAAATTCTTAACTTTTTTTCTGAAATTAGATTCACATATATGATATTCAGGTTTTTTATCTTTTCTAGAAGGTTGACAAATTTCACATATTTATGTGTCTGTTTGACTTTTTTTTTTTAGACAGAGTCGCACTCGATAGAGTCCTGTGGAGTCACAGCTCACAGAACCTCAAACTCTTGGGCTTAAGCGATTCTCTTGTCTCAGCCTCCCAAGTGCTAGGACTACAGGCACCTGCCACAATGCCCGGCTATTTTTTTGTTATTGCAGTTGTTGTTATTAAGCTGTCCCAGGCTGAGTTCAACCCCACCAACCTCAGTGTGTGTGGCTGACACCGACCGTAACCACTGTGCTATGGGTGCCGAGCCCTATTTGACTTTCTAATCTGTCTCCTAATTACAAAGTCAGTGCCTGATGAAATTATTTGGAGGATTAGGAACCATACAAGTATTTGGTTTCTGATTATAGAATCCTTTTACTCTCAAACCCTGACTTTGCCCTTAATTTTTACTTTAACTTTGTGGGGAAGTGCAGTAGTCTTGCCATGTGATTTGTATTCCTGCTGTGCTTTTGCCTTAGTCATTAAGTTTTTTATTTCTCCAACATATTGTTTTCTTTCTTGAACTATTGGCATTTTCAATTTCCAATATAATTCTTCTGGTCAACTAGTATTAGGCCATTAAATCCTGAGGTTACCAATAGTGATTTTTGATTCAGACTTTTTTAAATGTAACATCGTGAAATTCACCTTACCTTCTAGAGGAAACTATTCACATAGATAAGGCATTGCTTATAAAACTTGGGGAAACTAGCTGCAGGGGACAAGTGCCTGATGTACTTAAGGAGGTGAATCCAGAGCATGGATTTGACTGGAGTGCAGGTTCTCAGGCAGGGTGAATTCTGACCCGTGGGGGTGAGCCTCCTGGAGAACCTGACCTCTCTGAGCCTGGTTTTTCAGGTGCAATGTGAAGATGCCCCTTCCTCCCTCATCAGGACCCTTGTCAGACACAAACAAGGGAAAGTAGGAGGCAGTGATCCAAAGACTATATAAAATGCTCTGGCGTTTCATCTTTCTTTTTTCTTTATTAGTCTGCATAGTATTCTCTTGTTTTTCCCAATTCTTTGTTAAACTCTTGAACTTTCCATGGTCATATAATTCTTAAGGTCAATACAACATGATTATTTCTTTCCTTTTTGATTGGTATTTGTGGTAAGGCATTGCTACCAGTAATTTTAAACTGTTTTTCACTTTATGGAGACAGTACAGTCACCATGAAATCACTGAGGATTATAATCTATTTAGGATAATTTAATCTTTTGTTTTGCAGTCCCAGGCTGTCTAATCTTCCTGGCTGGTCCCTCAAGGATGGAAATGCTTTCTTGGACAAGGTAATGCCCAAGACAAAAACCTGAAGCGCATCTGCACCCAGTAGACAGCCAGCTTTTCACTCCAGCGCCACCCTGTGGTAGTGTAACTATGGCTTTTTTTTCCAGGCGTATTCTTTCTGAAGAACCCAAAGATCTGTTTTCAGATTTAGATTCAATTTGTTCATGTATAGAAATCAAAGTACTTTTGCTACAAATACTTTTTATCGGCATGGAAAGAAAGCTATTATTTCTAGAGTTGCCCTGAGAGTTTTAAAGGTGATGCTTGTTTTTTTTTGTTTTTTTTTTTTTTTTGAGACGGAGCCTCAAGCTATCCCCCTGGGTAGAGTGCCATGGCATCACGCTCACAGCAACCTCCAACTCCTGGGCTCAAGCGAGTCTCCTGCCTCAGCCTCCCAAGTAGCTGGGACTACAGGCGCCGGCCACAACACCTGGCCATTTTTTGGTTGCAGCCGTCATTGTTGTTTGGCGGGCCCGGGCTGGGGATTCGAACCTGCCACCTTAGGTGTATGTGGCTGGCGCCTTAGCCGCTTGAGCCACAGGTGCCGAGCCAAAGGTGATGCTTGTTAAAGAGTTCAGGATAGTTCATCTTGAAGCGATATTGATTTCGTGATTGGAAGAAGTAAAACTTTTCATAACTTGAAAATCCTCAAATATGTGAATTTTAAACAGCTTCTGTTGGGGATCAGAAGAGCTAGGGCTTTGTAAAAGATTTTGGGTCATTTTTTGGGTGACGAGAGGCCACAGGAGGTCGCAGAGGGAGAGTCTCCTTGTCTGATCGGATCATTCAGACCACAGTGTGGAGAATATTCTGAGGAGCAGGGTGTTTTCAGCAGTGTGTTTGGGGGGCGGGGGGAGAAGGACAGTGTGGAAGGGGGATGTGCTCGTGGGAAAATTTGAGTAGGGCTTCCAAAGGAGGATCTGTGATCCTATTCCAGCACTTCCTAATAGCTTAGAATGGACAATCTTATAGGTTATTTTAAAAAGAAAGAAAAAGGGCTCGGCGACTGTGGCTCAAGCGGCTAAGGCGCCAGCCACATACACCTAAGGTGGCAGGTTCGAATCCCCAGCCTGGGCCCGCCAAACCAAAAAATGGCCAGGCGTTGTGGCGGGCCCTTGTAGTCCCAGCTACTTGGGAGGCTGAGGCAGGAGACTCGCTTGAGCCCAGGAGTTGGAGGTTGCTATGAGCTGTGATGCCATGGCACTCTACTCAGGGGGATAGCTTGAGGCTCTGTCTCAAAAAAAAAAACAAAAAGAAAGAAAAAAGTTCTAGGAATCTAGGGTTTAATCAGTAACTAACTTAAAGTAAAAGACTTCAGTTTCCTTTTTTTTCCAAGTCTTAAATTTGTGACACTAGGTTATCTTTTTCAGTAATTCCTTCTTCATACCTTTTTTTTTTTTTTTTTTTTTTCAGTTTTTTTGGCTGGGGTTGGGTTTGAACCTGCCACCTCTGGTATATGGGGCTGGCGCCCTACTCCTTTGAGCCACAGGTGCCGCCCCCCTTCTCATATCAATATTTGGACAGTAAAATTATTAAGTGAGAGTCCAGTGCAACAAAAATGTTAAAACTATATCAAACTTTGTACTTAAAACAAAAAAGGCCTAGGAAGGTTAAAAACTGTAAAGCTCATCTGGGCCACACATCGGTTCTCTAAATCATTCTTGCTTTCCTATGTCTCACAGTCAAAAACGGAGTTTAAATATACTTAAAACAATCCATCTAAATAAAGCACTTTTTTCTTGTAATAGATATTGTTAAAGAAAGAGGTACTTTTTACAGAACTAATTCCTGTTAACTGCACCCCAACCTCAAGTGCAAGCCAAATGCCTGATTCGAAACCAGATTTTCTTCATAGCTGACCATAAAATTCTGTGACATTCAGGAACCCGTGCACCTGATTTCAGCCTGAGTCTCCTGCTGGCTATAAATCATTGTTCCCTGAGAAAGGCTCAGAAGCAGCCCATTACCAGCACATTGTGAGCAGAATGACTTGCATGCGTGTGTGGGAGTATTTCATTAGAAAGGAGCGGTGAATAAAATACAGTGACATTGTAAGTGTTTAGAATGGCTAATATGCTTCTGCAGGCCAGGGAGGATGAGAGCCTCGGAGGAGACTTTATCATACGACGTGCCCTGAAATGTAGCAGTATGGGGAAGAAGATTACATAGTCAATTTAAGACGAGGCATAGCTTTGAAATTTCCCATGATTTGTCTTTAATCACTTGTCGCCTCATCCTGAGGGAGTTGGGAGTCTTCTCCCATTAGACAGAATTGCTCATTTGTTTTTTGGCTGGCAGGTACATTGTAATTAAGAACTGCTTTCAGTTTCTGTTTGGCTCAGTCCGTCACTAGTCAAAGGTGCTCCTGGGAGAGGAGCCACAGCTCAGGGTTGAAGGCAAAGGAGGAGGTGCCTGTGACACTTGTAAAATTCAAAAGGCCGACACCATGTAATTAGTGCCCTATCTTCAGCTAAAGATTGAAAGCAAAATCTTTCACACTCTGGTATGTACATATCAATACATGGGTATAGATGTATAGAAATAAACGTTCAGTGACTAACGGAAGTGTGATAGAACAAAACTATAACAATGGCTTTCCCTTTCTGGAAAGAGGAAAGGAAACTTATAACCGTTTTTCTATCTTTTACTGGTTTTGTGTAAAGCTTTAACCTGATGGTGAAAAAAATCCACCATAGCCTCCAGTTTATAATTGTCAGTTGAGGCGAGGAAACAACTCTCACACCTTCTGGAGGCATTGTGGCAAACCTGGGGGGACCCACCCGTACCTCTAGGCCTTTCTACTTCAGTGTACCGTGTCATAATTGTATACACCATAACTGTATGGCTTTGCCTGAAGGTTGTTACCTGAAGCTGCACAAAATGAAGGAATTGGTATGTAAATATTTGAGACCCCCAGTAGGATAACTAAGGTGTATGTGTTACACCATTGCTCAGAGTTTCCCTGTGGTGGTAAGTTCCAGTTGCCCAAAGTAGTATGCGGCTCAATAACATATCCCTTATCAGTTAATTTCGTCTCTGTTTATCCTCCCCCTTTAATTCTTGCTCTCAAACCCTTTTCTCAAGTCAGCCTGCTGGGGAATCTGAACTAAGATGGGCATATTAAATATGATAGGTCATGGGTAGAGTGGGGAGCTGGACTGTATTCTGTTTCTTTATATACAGAGGATGCCAAGAAAAGTATACACATTTTAAGAAAGGAAAAAACTATTAAAAGTATGATACTCAGCTCAGTGCTTGTGGCTCAAGTGGCTAAGGCGCCAGCCACATACACCTAAGGTGGCGGGTTCAAATCCAGCCCAGGCCCACCAAACAACAATGATGGCTGCAACCAAAAAATAGTCAGGCATTGTGGCGGGCGCCTGTGGTCCCAGCTACTTGGGAGGCTGAGGCAGGAGACTCACCTGAGCCCAGGAGTTGGAGGTTGCTGTGAGCTGTGATGCCACGGTACTCTGCCAGGGTGACAGCTTGAGACTCTGTCTCAAAAAAAAAAAAACAAAAAAACAAAAACTGTGATACTCAAGTTACATTTGACTTCTGCAATTACAAGAGATATAGTACGCAAGATAAACATTATCAGTTTATATTGAAGATTACAACCTTAGTACAGTTTTTTCTTTCTTAAAATGAGTATACATGTTCTGATACCCTCTGTCTGTGCTCTTTTTGATTTGATTTATAATTCCAAATAGATTGTATTGTTGTGCCCAGGAGTTCCCCAGAGAACACACGCCCAGACAAGCCGAATTTGCAAGGGAGTCTCTTTATTTAAGAGCTGGCCGGCAGCTGCCTCGGTGTCCCAATGAGGGGTTTCCAAGAGCAGCCCCAAGTGCTTAAGGAGTTGGGTTTTTAGGCCTGGTCTGCATCCTGTTTGGCACGCAGGCTGTCCAGGTGCATCCAGGGTGGGTAGCAAGCAAGTGGTGTACAGAAGCAGAATTTTGCAGTTAGTCCTACATCTTTGTTTTAATGTTTTCCCCCCATACATCTTAGCGTCAGTACTTTCCCTACCTGGTATTATTTAAAGGTCAGTCCAGGGACAGTTGGTGCCTCCCAGTTCGTTTTCCAAGGAGTTAGCCAAGCAAGAAACTGAGAGTGGACTAGAAGCAAGAAATTAATTAATTAGTGCTTTTTCATCTATGTTAGGAGTAAACTAGGCTTCATTTTTGGAGGAGGGGGAAGTTTGCAGTCTGGAAATTTGCCAGGAGTTAACTGGTATTTGTCCATCATAGCCTAGGCCTGACACCTTTCTGCCTTAGCCTAGGCGTACCAGGCCTAACAGGGTCTTCTACAAAGACAAATATGACATTCACAGGGGCAGCAGTGGTGTGGTGGTGGTGGCTGTTTAATCCCTACCCTGTACTTATGGTCCTCCCTCTCTTGCCCCTTTCCCAGCAACTATGGTGATAAAAAGCCTCTAAATAATTGGTCTAGGGGCTCGGCGCCTATAGCTCAACGGGCTAAGGCGCCAGCCACGTACACCTAAGGTGGCGGGTTCGAATCCCCAGCCCGGACTCGCCAAACAACAATGACGGCTGCAACCAAAAAATAGCCGGGCGTTGTGGCGGGCGCCTGTGGTCCCAGCTACTTGGGAGGCGGAGGCAGGAGACTCGCTTGAGCCCAGGAGTTGGAGGTTGCTGTGAGCTGTAATGCCACGGCACTCTACCCAGGGGGACAGCTTGAGGCTCTGTCTCAAAAAAAAAAAAAAAAAAAATAATTGGTCTAGGGCCGTGACTCCTAACCTGGTTAAATAACAGAATCACTGGAGGTGCTCGTTAAGAGATACTGATTCCGTGGCCTCATCCCCAGTGTGTGATGTCTAAGATCTTAGGGCCCAGCAACCTTTAATTTAATCGGTGTCCCCCAGTAATTCTGACGTTGCTGTTACCATCTACAAAACTATTATTTGGAAACCATGGTTCATGGGTTATGGGAGTTGCACATGTCCATGCAAAGCTTTCTTGAATGGCATCCAGAAATGTACATTCAAGTTCTGAGTCTGCCACCAGCCAGTGTTTTTTTCCTCATTAAGACACTTGGCCTGCCTGAGCCTGAACAGGGGAAGTTAGCCTAAATAACCTCTCAGCTTCCTTCCAACTCTAAAGTCTGTGAGTCTGTGATTCTTCATGAAAAGTTTGGCTTGGGGATTTCTTTGCTACTGTATCCAAATCTCTTCTGGTATTTTTCATTTCTTTTAGGAGCTAAAGGAGTGCTCAGGTCATGTATTTGTGGATTCTGTGCCTGAATTCTGTTTACCAGAGGTAAGTTTAAAGTGATTCTTGATTGTGGAAACAAAGTACATTGTGTAATTTCTCTAAAGAAGTCAAGACACAATTTTAAGAGGCTGGGCTTCCTGTTTCCAAGTTTAAATGACTCTGTTATTCCCGGAATATTGTTACTCAGCTAAAATAAGATCATTTAGGAGCTACATATATTGTCTAGAAATCATTTAAGTCACTGTCTTCTCCCTCTTTCCAGCTCTTTCTAGAATCCCGACTGATATTTCTACCAGGGCATAGTTTTGAGCAACGTAAGGAAGTGAACCAGACCTTTCAGTTTTGTTCTGTTTTGCTTTGCTTCAGTTTTTCTCTTAAGTTTTTTTTTTTCCTTCATTCTTTGTTTCTTTACCCGATTTCTCTATGACGTTTTGTTGCCATAATGGGCTCCTATGGGATGACACCTCCCAGTTTGATTTAATGCCTTTCTGCTTAGGTTAGCTGTACTTTTCCTGGTCTCACACAGGGTAATTGAGAATTGCTATTATTTAGCCAATGCCAGTAAGCTAAAAATGTTTGCTGTCTTGAGATATCATATTGAATACTATTTGAAATTCATGAACTCTGAGCAGAGTCATGGATTCTGTCACTACATACTATAACAGACTTTTTAAAAATTATTATGGGTTATATATCTTTATAGGGTACATGAGTTTTTGGTACAGGTATACAGTGTCAGTTAATCCATCAGGATAACTGAAGTATCCATCACCCCAAGCATTTAACATTTTGTGCTGGGAACATTTAGTTATTTTAAAGTATATTCTAACTTACTGTTGATTGTTATCACTTTGTTATGCTATCAAATATTGTTTGTTCTCACTGATTATATTTTTGTATTCATTAACCATCCCCCGAAATATCCCCCACTCCCTGCTCCCTTTCCCAGCCTCTGGCAACTGTCATTCTACTGTCTGCCTCCAGGAGATCAATTATTTTTAGTATTTAACTCCCACATAGTAGTAGGATTTGCCTTTCACACAGCGAGACGGGTTAGCGTTTGGGGCCAGTTTTATCCTTTCGAAGGAAAGCAAGATCAGTTTCCATTAGTTTTAAAAGCAGTTAATGTGAGCTGACGGCCCTATCCCCAGCCCTAGTCAAGCTAGGGGTTCTCAACAAACAGATGAAGTGTGGGGAAGCCAGTGCTACTGCAGGGCTCCAGGGAAACCAGTGAGAAGCTGCCGTCCTCTTCCTCCCGTGGGCCAGTGAGGCACAGTGCCTGTAGAAATACTTTCACACTTGGGAGGAAGTCCGGAGGGCAGTTCCCTTATGTTGCTTCTCTTCTCTTCTTTCTCTTTCCATTTCTATCCTTTGATACCCTATTGAGAAACTTTTTTCTTTCTCTTTGAAATAGGTGTATGTGCCTTTTGAGGGTACCAGAGCAAAAGAGAGGGGGGAAAGAAACAGAGGAAAATGGTAATTGAAGGTGGCAGATAAGGAAGAAAGTTTGAGATTTCGTAGTTAGAATAAAGTTGAAGGTAGAGCGTTAACAGAAACGCAGAGCTGTCCCTCACTGCTGTTACAATCTCTGTCACTGAGGAATTGGTGGGGCAGTCCCTCATCTGTTCAACAATTCCTATCCCAGGTGCTGTGTTTTTTTGTTTGTTGGTTTGTTTTTGAGACAGTCTCACTTGGTCATCCTGGGTAGAGTGCTTATGGCATCATAGCTCACAGCAACCTCAAACTCTTGGGTTCAAGACATCCTTTTGCCTCAGCATCCCAAGTAGCTGGGCCTACAGGTGCCAGCCATACGCTCAGCTATTTTTAGAGACAGGGTCTCTCTCTTGCTCAGGCTGGTCTCGAACTTGTGAGCTCAAGCAATCCACCTGCTTCAGCCCTCCCAGGTGGTAGGATTACAGGCGTGAGCCACCACACCTGGCACCAGGTGCTACTTTTAATCTTCATTTGACCACAGATGGCACTGATTATTGCTACCTTCAGTTTATGGACACCAGTGTAGAATTTATGAATTGGTGCTCTGGTGACTTTCTGACTTGCTTCATAGCATATTCAGCTTTTAAATTAGATGGTTACCTTTCATAATTCACCTTTTGTCAAACTGAAGAATTATTATTATATTTATTTTGTGTTCTAGAGCCACCATAAGGTTTTTCAGGCAAGATTTTATGGCAAAAATTAGTGATAGTCACGAATTTTAAGGTAGAGCCCCAGGCCCTTGTATGACTGGGAGAATATGAGATCATAATAGAAGCAAGAAAGACTTACTACAGTGCAGTCTTCAGGGACTTGTGGGTAAGCCAGGCAGATCCCATCCTTGTCTTCTTGAAATTTATAATCTGGTACAGCTACCTTAAATGTCTTCGTCTCCCCCTAAAGTCTCTGTACTATGGACTATGTATATACTCTAGCACAGTATAGAAAGCAGCCAGTAAATTATGGTTGTGTTGGTCCAATTTATGGTCTCCAAGTGTGTTTTTACCTAATGATTTTAAAGTTAAAGTAATCTTATTGGATTCCGTTGTGTGAAAGTGTGTAAGTAGGCTCGGTGCCTGTGGCTCAATTGGCTAAGGCGCCAGCCACATACACCTGAGGTGGCGGGTTCGAATCCCCAGCCCGGGCCCGCCAAACAACAATGATGGCTGCAACCAAAAAATGGCCAGCGCTGTGGCGGGCGCCTGTAGTCTCAGCTACTTGGGAGGCTGAGGCAGGAGACTCGCTTGAGCCCAGGAGTTGGAGGTTGCTGTGAGCTGTGAGGCCATGGTACTCTACCCAGGGGGACAGCTTGAGGCTCCGTCTCAAAAAAAAAGAAAAGTGTGTAAGTAAATACATGAATATAGTTAACCTTTGGACAACATGGGTTTGAACTACACAGGTCCACTTAAATATGGATTGTTTTCAATAAATAGATGGGAATTTTTTTGGAGATTTGCAACAATTTGAAAAAACAGCTGAACCTAGAAATACCGAAAAAATTAAGGGAACACAGAAAAAATTATGTTGTGATGTCTAAAATATTTGTAGATCCTAGTCTGTTACCATTTACTACCATAAAATATACACAAGTCTATTATAAAAATTAAAATGTATCAAATTTATACATATATGACATACATGATGCTGTTCCACCATTCACAGTCAAAAGAAAGTAAACAATAACTGCATAAAATTCAGCATAGTACTTACTACACTACTGTGATAATTTCATAGCCTCCTCCTCTTGCGCTTGTGGCGAGCTCAGGTGTTACAGGTACCCACTGAAAGCACCGTATGAGGCCAGTCATCTCCACATTAGCAGTTTCTTTCCACCAAATTATCATAGTAAACAGTCATCTCTCACAGTTCTTGTGTATTTTTCATTGTGTTTAGTGCAATACTATAAACCTTCAATAACACCATGGCACCCATAGCGATGATGGAAACGCTATTAGTAATGGTGGAAAAATGCTCCTAAAAAACAGAAAAGTCAAGGCATTACAAGAAAAAGTTGAACTATTAGATATGTACGTACCGTAGATTGCGGTCTGCGGCTGCAGAAAAAAGTCTGTGAAGCCGTCACTGTAGCTACACTCACCTCTTGTGCAATGCCTGTTCATCTTGTATTAAAAATGCAGCTTTTAGTGGCTGCAGGATTGCTATGACAAAGGTGTGCCTTTAGGTGCTAATAGGATTTTTAAAAAGCAGTCATTATATGACAACTTAAAGCAACAAAAGTGAACTATATAACTCCAGAGGATTTAATGCCAGCAAAGGATGGCCTGATAATTTTAGAAAGAGGTTTGGCTTAAATATCAAGATAACTGAAGCAATTTCTGAAGACAAAGAAAATGGCAGACAAGTTTCCAGATGCCATTAAGAAAAAATATCTATTTGGCTTGGCGCCTGTGGCTCAAGTGGCTAAGGCACCAGCCACATACACCTAAGGTGGCGGGTTTGAATCCAGCCCGGGCCTGCCAAACAACAATGACGCTGCAACCAAAAAATAGCGGGCATTGTGGCGGGCGCCTGTGGTCCCAGCTATTTAGGAGGCAGAGGCAGGAGACTTGCTTGAGCCCAGGAGTTGGAGGTTGCTGTGAGCTGTGATGCCACAGCATTCTACCCAGGGAGACAGCTTGAAGCTGTCTCAAAAAAAAAAAAAAAAATCTATTTGATAAGAGATTGTTTTTGTTTTTATTAAGACAGAGTCTTTCTTTGTCACCCTCTGTAGAGTGCAGTGGCATCATAGCTCACAGCAACCTCAAACTCTTGGGCTCAAGTGATTCTCTTGTCTCAGCCTCCCTAGTAGCTGGGACCACAGGCACCTGCTAGGATGCCTGCTTACTTTTTTTGTTTAGCAGGCCTGGGCCGGGTTCAAACCCACCAGTCCTGGTGTACTTGGCTGGCTCCCTAACTACTGAGCTACTGGCACCCCATTTGAACAGATTTTTTTTTTTTTTGGCCAGGGGCTGGGTTCGAACCCGCCACGTCTGGTATATGGGGCCAGCGCCCTAACCCTCTGAGCCACAGGCACCACCCCTGAACAGATTTTTAATGCAGACAAAATAAACCTATTTCAGGAAGACAACGGTCCAAAAGATATCTGTTAGTAAGAAAAAGAAGTGAACGCCAAGATTTAAGACAGAAAGGGATATCTTCAGTCTACTTGAGTGACCTGGACTGCCTTTATCTGTAAAGCTGCTAATCCCTGATCCTTCAGGGAAAAAGATAAACACCAGCTGCCAGGTTTTTAGTTGTACAACAAGAAAGCCTAGACAAAGAGAACCATTTTCATGGATCGGTTCACTGAGTTCAGGAAGTACCTTGCCAGTAAAGGATGACTTTTTCAAAGTCTTTAATACTGGACAATACCCCTGGCCACTCAGAACCCCAGGAGGTCAATCCAGGATCAGAGTGGCCTACTCGCCTCCAAACCCAGCATGTTTAATTCAACCTCTAGATCATGAAGACCTTGAAGACTCATTACACATTGTGCTCTATGGAGAGGATTTTTACTTTTCCTTGGAAGAGAACCCAATTGAGAAGATTACATTGTTGAAGATGCATTGTTGTTACAGAAAAAGCCATGATTACTGTCAAGCGAAACAATTTCCTGCTGGAGAAACCCGTCCAGACATCGTTCAGATTAACAACAGAACCAGGCAAAGAAATCACAATTTAGAGGCAGGATGAATGGACTGTAGGTGTCATCAGGCATGTCATTCACATAGATGCCATTGCCCTCGCAGTGGTAGAGGTTAATTCCAACACACAGAGGAATTAACAGAAGATGGCTTGATGGGGAGGAGTGCTCCCAAACAGTGCCAGGTGAGGAGGAAGGCATGGAAGAAACTGCCATGAAACACGGTGACAGTGGACAGTCTGGCAGAGAGTTCCCAGTTTCCAGGACTGCTTTTGACTTCTTGTACAACATGAACCCTGATACAGCACCACAACTAAAACAAACAGTGGAAGAAGAATCTATGCTGTATGGAAACATTTTTAGAGAAATGAAAAGGCAGCAAAACCAGAGAGAAATCACAGCATTTCCTCTTAAAGTTACACCAAGCATGCTGCCTCCCCTTCCCTCCCACCACCTGTCCCTCCTTGCCACCCCCGAGACAGCAGCACCGACCTCTCCTCCCCACTCTGTGTGACCTGCTCTTCGGGGGGTCCACCTTCCCGTCAGGAATAGTAAATGTGTTTCCTCTTCCTTACGGGATTTCCTTAACATTGTCTTTTCTCTAGCTTACTTTATGTAAGAATACGATATATGGTACATATGCAAACTATGTGTTAACACACTGTTTATGATACTGGTGAGGCTTCATTCAGTCAGCAGGAGGCTGTTAAGTTACATGTGCGTTTTCAACTGTGGTGATAGGGAAAGGGGCTTGGGGTTCTGACCTCATGTTGTTCAAGGGTCAGTTGTACGTAAATGTGGTGTGGGTGAACATTTCTCACGGAAAAAATGATTTATGTAGGTACACACTATTAACACAGAGACAGAGAATTTCTTTATTTCTCATAATTCTAGCCTCTGGGCTGATTCTTACATATTTTAGAGAAATTTCAAGTTTTCTCAACTGGTTTCTGTACACACAAGGGAAGATGGTGATGCTTTTGAGTTTTGTTGTTGGCGTCAACTGTCATTCCCATTGGTTTTTGTGGAGCTATCATTCTGCTGCACTGTCTTAATTCCTTGTTCTTTGGAAGATGATTGTGGAGAGAGTGGAGAGTAGGACCGCAGACTGCTGGCTGATTCTTCATCATGAGGGTATTCTCTTATGAGCACAGAGCATGACATGGACTTAGGGGCAGGATAAATTGACTGCTGGTGTCATCAGGCCTGTTATCCACAGAGATGCCATTACCCTCGCAGTGGGTAGCTTAGACCTCTACTCATGTGGCATCCTTGGGAGCTGATGATGGCCTCGGCAGCATTATTAAGTTAGCTTATTTTATATGTAAAGTCATTCAGCCGGAAAATACCACAGTCAAAATGGCCCACTGCCTCTTATCATCTGCTTATGCCACAGACCTCTCGTTACTTCTCTGTGGGAATGTATTAACCCCATGACTCATCTCCTAGCTGCAACACTTCCTCTGTGTCCTTAGTGCAGGGACAGTTTCCCAGGACTAACTCCTCATGAGGGAGAGCTCCGTGAGTGGTAGGATATCTCTGAACCACAGGATCTCACTCTTCCTCAATAAGATGCTGTGTGTAAAGCTGCTTTCTTTCAGTAAAAGTGCACCCCAGTCTGTGATGTGCTGGCTGCAGCGGGTGGGAGGGAGCCGGAGGAGGGTCACAGGAGCAAAGTGCTACCCTGGGGGTGGGGGGGATGCTGTGCAGAGTGCTGTCTAGGAGGGGGGCACACAAAGTGCTTTGGGGGTTGTAAGGAGGAAGTGGTTTCTTTCATCTGAGAAAATCAGGAAGGCTTAGTGGAAGGACAAAGTTGAGCCTTGACAGACAGGCAGGACTTAAATGTATGGGGAATTTTTTTCTCAGACTAAAAGAGTTTTAGTAAAGTTTACCAAACTTGAGTATCATTTTCTAACCTTTTCTCTTTTCCCCTCACCTTTATACTGGACTAAACAGGCATATGTGGGGTTACAATTAGGTTAGGAGATGAGTATATAATTTCCCTTCATGACTCCACCACTGTCCTGTTAGTCTCCATATTTGACTTATGAAGAGCTGGTGGTGCTGCCTCACATTCTAGTCTGTCCTTATCACTTACTGTGCTCTCTCTGCTGCAAGTTACCTGGTTTCCCATTCATCTGTAGTGAGGCTGCCTCACATTCTAGTCTGTCCTTAGACTTACTGTGCTCTCTCTGCTGCTAGTTACCTGGTTTCCCATTCATCTGTAGTGGTGCTGCCTCACATTCTAGTATGTCCTTAGAC